TGAATTGCGAGGAAGTCTCAGGCGGGAACCCCCTCCCTATGGGGCCCGCAGATCATCTTACTAATCCGCCCGGGTCATCGGAACCCTGTAACTGTCTCTACTCTTGGGCCTCTGAGGCTTGAATACGCAGGAAATATCAGGCGAGAGCCTCGTATGTGAGTGAATTGCGAGGAAGTCTCAGACGGGAGCCCCCTCCTTTTGGGGCCCGCAGATCACGTTACTAATCCGAGCGGGTCATCGGAACCTTGTAACTGTCGTCACTTTTGGGCTCTTGAGGTCTGAATATGGAAGAAGTATCAGGCGGGAACCTCGTCTCTGAGTGAATTGCGAGGAAGTCTCAAGCTGGAGCCCCCTCCTTATGAGGCCCGCCGATCATATTACTAATCCGAGCGGGTCATCGGGACCCTGTAACTATCCTCACTTTTGGGCTCCTGAGGCTTGAATATGAAGGAAGTATCGAGCGGGAGCCTCGTGTGTGAATGAATTGCGAGGAAGTCTCAGGCGGGAGCCCCCTCCCTATGGGGCCCGCAGATCACGTTATTAATCCGAGCGGGTCATCGGAACCCTGTAACTGTCGTTACTTTTAGGCCTCCGAGGCTTGAATATGCAGGAAGTATCAGGCGGGAGCCTCGTCTGTGAGTGAATTGCGAGGAAGTCTCAGGCGGGAGCCCCCTCCCTATGGGGCCCGCAGATCATGTTACTAATCCGAGCGGGTCATCGGAACCTTGTAACTGTCGTCACTGTGGGGCTCTTGGGGCCTGAATATGGAGGAAGTATCAAGCGGGAGCCTCGTCTATGACTGAACTGCGAGAAACATCCACGGCGTCTTACCGGCACACGTCGGCATGGAGGTCCGGTTCACGGCCGTGCAGGAGGAGCTGAAGAAGAAGTTGGGGCTCGTGCAGGAGCAACGGGCCACCATCGTGTCCTTCGAGTTTCACGCAGACGACGAGCGGGACTACGAGGAGCGCGCGCCGGGCCAGCTCTTCCGCCCCCGCTTCCTACCGCAGGGAATGTGGCTGCAGGTGCACGGCTTCCAGGAGTCCCCGATCTACAAGGAGGTCGCCGAAGTGCTGCTGCAGGGCGCCGATGGCGCTGTCGACGACGGCGAAGCCGAAGCGCGGGCGAGGAGCTTACTCATGTTCAGGCCCAGCGAGCAGGAGCTCACGTGGCAAAGCTCGGGGGCGCACACTGTGCGCCGCTCGGGGTTCACCCTGACGCATGCGTCCAACCTGACCTCCACGCTGTCGCAAGGCCAGACGCTGCGCAAGGGCGTCACCATCGACTGCGCCAGGGATGGGGACGCTGGCCGCACGGGCATGTCGGACGAGATGTGGTGGCTGCACCTCTACGTCATGTTCTCCCGCGCCACGTGCATGTTGAACACGCTGATCCTGCGGCCGCCCGCGCGAAAGTTCCTGGAGCGCGGGCCGCCGGCGTCACTGCGGAAGGCGCTCCAGGAGTTCGACAAGAGAGCGGTGGATTCCAGGCCTGAGGCGGAGCAGCTCGCGGCAGAGCTGGGTTTCGTGCTGCCGCCCGCCTGAGCGCCGCGGCGCGCACCTAGAGGCCCGCGGGGTTGTCCCAACGGCTGGCTCCCGCGCCCCTGCAATCTGCGAGGTTGCCCCAACGGCCTGGCCCGAAGGGTTGTCCCGACGGCTTCGCAGTCTAGCCGTCGGCAAACGCGCGCGTGCTGGCCGACGCGGCGACGGCGCCGAGGGAAATCGAGTTGCTTGCCACGACCAGGGGGAGCGGGAGGTGCACATGGAAAAAAAGCAGGAGGACGAGGAGGGAAGGGGCATGGGGGAGGGCGACGACGAGGAGGAGGTGGCGCGAGAGGAGGAGGAGGAGGAGGAGGAGGAGGAGGAGGAAGAGGAATAGAATGAGGAAAAGAGGGCAGCGCAGAGGGCGAGAGGAGAGGGTGTCCGCCAGGGGGAGGAGGAAAGGGCAAAGGGTAAGCTAAACAGATTCTCATGTGGGGTCCTACCGTCGGAGTATTTTCGCGCCCCGCCACCTCCCGCCCTGTTTTATTGCGTGAGCGCGCGGGTCGATGTTCTTCGGCGCCGTCGCCGCCTCGGCCAACACGGGCGCGTTCCCGAATTGCCACGTCGCGCAGCCGTTAGGACAACCCCGCGGGCCAGAACGTCGGGCAACCGCGCGAGCCGCTGGCGCACAAGACCAAGCCGTTGGGACAACCCCGCGGGCTTCGAGCGGGGCGCAACCGCGCTCAGGCGGGAGGCAACACGGAGGCACCACGAAACCTAGCTCTGCCGCGAGCTGCTCCGCATCTGCCCTGACCACTCCGCTCTCTTGTCGAACCCCTCGAGCGCATTCCACAAAGACGCTGGAGGCCCTCGCTCCTGGAGCTCTCGCGGCGGCGGCCGCAGGATCAGCATGTTCCGCATGCACGTGGCGCGGGATAGCATGACGTAGAGGTGCAGCCACCACTGCTCGTCCGACATGCACGTGCGGCCAGCGTCCTCGTCTCTCGCGCAGCCGATGGTGACGCGCAGTCTCCCTTTCAATTCACTCACAGACGAGGCTCCCGCCTGATATTTCCTCCATGTTCAGGCATGAGGAGGCCAAAAGTGACGACAGGTACAGGACTCCGATGGCCCGCCTGCGATTCGAACATGAAGTGCGGACCCCTTAGGGAGGGGGCTCTCGCCTGAGACTTCCTCACAATCCACTCACAGACGAGGCTCCCGCCTGATACTTCCTCCATATACAGGCATGAGGAGGCCAAAAGTGACGACACTTACACGATCCGAACGACCCGCTCGGATTAGTAACATGATCTGCGGGCCCCTTAGGAAGGAGGCTCCCGCCTGAGCTTTCGTCTCGGCATGAGGAGGTCAAAAGTGACGACAGTTACAAGGTTCCGATGACCCGCTCGGATTAGTAACATGATCTGCGGGCCCTTTTAAGGAGGGGGAACCCGCCTGAGACTTCCTCACAATTCACCCACAGACGAGGCTCCCGCCTGATACTTCCTCCATATGCACGCAAGAGGAGGCAAAAGGTGACGACAGTTACAAGATCCGAATTGCCCGCTCGGATTAGTAACATGATCTGCGGGCCCTTTAGTGGGGGGGGGGCTCCCGCCTGAGACTTCCTCACAATTCACCCCAAGACGAGGCTCCCGTCTGATACTTCCTCCATGTTCAGGCATGAGGACGCCAAAAGCGACGACAGTTACAGGATCCGATAACTGAGTGAGTGGTGATGATGCTGTTGATGATGATGTGTGATGATGGTGACGGTGAATGATCGATGGATGATGGTGTTGGCGAAGATGATGATGATGATGATGATGATGATGATGATGATGATGATGATGATGATGATGGTGATGATGGTGATGAGTGGTGATGATGATGAGTGCTGATGATGACGAGTGCTGGTGACGCGGTGTTGACAATGACGATGCTGATGATAACGAGTGAGTGATTGAGTGAGTGATTGGATGTGGGAAAGAACCCCACTTAGGATGAGGAGGGAGTGAGGGTGAGTGGTGAGGAGTGAGAAAGTGGGGGGTGGGTGTGTTCCTGCGCGGGGTGCCCAGAGAGAACAGGAACCCCACTGTGGATGTGGGGACCTCTGTCATACACTTTAACGACACGATTGACTGGCACTCGCATGATCGGGAAATATGCACGGAGGAAGCGCCGTCAGAGAAATGCCAAATCCCCGATCGCAAACTGCCTGCAAACCTCGACATCGAACGCCGATGATAATCATCCCGTCTATGAGGTGAAGAAACATCTACCCCGACAAACCACCGCCAAAACTTGAAAGGTAGAGTTCAACATGCCAGGAAGACACGTTGACCACCGCCCAATTGACAGACTGACCGACAGCACGATTGGGCAAACGGCCCGGATCGGACAACCCCCGTGATCTTGTCAACCCTCTCATTATCATTACCATCGCCATCATCACCACCACTACCGTCATCATCATCACAATAAGTCACCAGCACCATCATCACCATCATCGCCGCCGTCATCATTCACAACCTCACCATCATCACCATCATCATCCTCTTTACCTTCATCATCAGCATCATCATCATGATCACCACCATCATCATCATCCTCATCATCCTCATCATCATCATCACCGCCATCATTATCATGATTATCGTCGTCATCAGCGTCGCCGATATCGTCGTCACCATCGCCAGCAACATCATTACCATCACCATCGCCACCATTATGAGCATCACCCTTACTATCACAATCGTCGTCACCCCAATCCACGCCTTCCCCGTCCGCCTCCGCATCCTATTCCTCCCCTCTTCCGCCTACTCATTCACATCCATCGCACCACAGTATCTAGCATCGTATGTGTTGCCAGTAGCATCCTCATCACCACCACCACGATCATAATCCTCATTACCACAATCATCACCACCACCACCGTCACCATTATCATCATCGTCATCATCATCATCATTATCATCATCATCATCATCATCACCATCATCCTCCTCATCATCATCATGATCATCACCATCATCAACACCATCGAGATCCCCCTACCCGCCTTCCTCCACCTCGTATCCCACATCTTTCTTCTTTTCTCGTGTTCCTCCTCCTCTTCCTCCCGCACACCTCATCATCATCCTCATCGTTGTTCTCCTCTTCGGCCTTTCCCTCGCCGTCCAAGCTCGCATGGTGGCGCTCTCTCTCTCTCTCTCTCTCTCTCTATTCCTGCCTTCCCCAGGTGGAGATAAAGTTGTGGCACAGGTCGATGCGCCTCCGCCGAGGGGTAAACCCCGAGGCGGAGGTCCAGCTCAGGAAGGGCAACGGTCTACCTCCCAGTGGAGGACCGCCTGCTGGAAGCGGCCCCAGCCCACATCTCCAGTCCAGCCCGCCTCGCCCTCGCAGCCTCGCTGCGCAGCGCCGAAAGCACCTCGGAAGAAAAAACTCCACTGGCACCCTCTCCCACCCCCCCCCCCTGGTTGCCGATGGACGGCCGATGGGTGGGGGGCGGGCCGCCTTGCGGAACTCTGTTGTGAGGCTGCCCTGCGTGTCCTGCGGCCAGCACGGGCCCCAGGAGGCTGTCGCTGCCGCCGCCCCTCGCGCCTCCCGCTCACAACGTGTTGCATGCTCGGGGGACCTTGTCTGTCCCTGCGCGCCGCAATCCACGTCGAATCCATGTCGCATCCACGTCGAGCGCGTCGAATCCGCATCGAATCCACGTCGAACCCGCGCCGTATCCACGCCAACTACTCGTCGTATCCGCGCCGACCACGCGTCGGATATTGGAAAAGACCGCTACTTCCGGGACAAACGAGCACACACGAAACTGCAACGTAATTCACGCCTGTACGAACGTCCCACCCCAGAGACTGTGAAAAGCATACCGAGACGAAGCCAGGACCAGGAAAAAGTCAGACCGGGACAAATCGGGGATCTTTGAGATCCGCAGCTCTGGAGGATGCATCGGGCGCCGCGGCCATTCCAGAGCGCTCAAGATCGCCCAGCATGCTCAGACGATCGAGGTCCATGGCTCGCGCCTGTTCCAATTCTTCCCAGAGAGGGGCCTGCACCATGACCGCCATCCGCCTCGCCTATGGCCATGGCCAGGCTCCCGTGCAGGTGTATCACGGCACTCCCTGATCCCCGGGCTTCGCCCGCTCCTGGCCGCGTGAGGCCCCGCCTTCCTCCGCCCTTCCTCTGCTAATTCAAAGCTGCGCGCGTTCCGCTTAGCTTTTTCGGCGGAAGAGGCTCGCTCTCGCCCTGCAGATCAAAAGTACCACGACACTGCGTGCGGGCCTGGAGACGAGGCTGGCACGCAGGCCGCTCCTCCTCGGACGCGTGAGGGCTCCGTGGGAAGATCCCCGGGCAGTCGCCGGCAGAGGCTGGCGTTGCGTCGAGGGCCCCCCCGTGGCGGCCCCTCCGAGCCTCCGTGCTGTGCACGGCATGGGCGGCGCCTGGCCCGGCGGCTTCGCTGCTCCAGGTTACAGCACGCGGAGCCGAGTTGATGACATGAAGGGTCCAATCAGTCGGGGCGTTAACCCAAGGAACCCTGAACAAGGAGCAAGGCCCCTTATTTCCATAACCTAAACTCTGATGTCCTATCGAAGACCTAAAGCAAACTGTGAAACAATCAAGGGACACGGAGACCCTCCCCAACGAGAAGGGTTCCTTCTTCAGCGCCCCGACTGTACCTCACTTCTGGAGGCTGTCAACGACGGCATTGAGCTTCGCTAGTGGCGGGTGGCCTCCGAGTTTTACGATGGTGGTGGAGCGGCGGGCGGCATTTATTGGCAGCACGTGCCGTACCTCCTCCGCTACCTCAACGAGAAGAGCGGGCCCTCCCTTACCTGTGGGGGTCACTGGCCTGAACAACGTTTAGCGGACACCGAGATGGTCGTAAACGCTGTCTGCCAGCGGTGCCATCGTCTTGCCGATTGCCGCATCCATAGGTTTTGGGGGTGCGTGTGCAGTGAACTTGCTAACAGCCCGAATGTACAGGAGACAAATCACCTCGGGCACCAAGCGCGTGAGGAGGCTGACGCTGCACCCACCTTCTGGTGCATGGACCTTACCCCCCGACTTCTGGGAGGTTGCGCTAGCGAGGGCCGCTCCTGGCCATAAACTGAATGGTGGCACATATGGCACCGATGGCTCAGGCGGCCCGCTGGCAGCCGGTCCGCTGCTGAGGCGATGCTCCTTTGCCGTTGCTCGACTGTGTCATCCCCCCTGCCCCGAAGCCGATTAAAATGTGGAAGGGTACGGTATTTGGGAGGGTAAGCGGCAAGCCGTGCATGGAGCTGAGTTGGTTGCAATTGTCGAAGTCGTTAGACGCGGTGTGCCTGACCGGGATCGTTTCGTTGACACGGCCCGCGAGGACCATGTGAAAGCGTTCTGTAGAGGGTTCCATCACAACCTGAGCCTCCAGAACGCCGACCTGTGGTTCGAGTTGTGGCAAGCGCTTCGTGAGAGGAGTGTCCGTTCCACTTTGGAGTACAGTCCGAATCATCTGGTGGAAGACAAAAACAAACTTAACAAGCACCTCTCTAGGCTTATCCGGACTTCATGTATATGTATCACGTTGCTGACACTCTTGCCTCTCATAGGGCGGAGCTTTGCTTGTTACCGCAGCGTGTACTTCAGGACACGACCAGCTTGGTTGGACAAGCAGTGGCCACTCTGAAGCGCAATGCCACCATCTGCTTGGAAGCGTACGCTGGGTCCCAAAACCCAGCCAGGAGGTTTGCGCGAACACAGCTTTCGCAGCTCATGAAGCAGAAGTCTACCAGACTGGCGGCCATCGGAGGCTCTTCGCACGCGAGTTTGCCCCACATTTTTGGTTGAAGGTGCCAGGCTTCGTTAAACTTATCCAGGGGAAGTCAAAGGGATTGATTCGCATCGTCAGCTCCTCCTGCGCAACCACTGCGACAGATGTGGTGGAGCACCAGGGCAGGCGCAAGGCTGACGGCAAGCGTTCCAGGTTAATCGATGAGGTCGTCGACGAAAGCCTCTGGGGGCCCTCGGCATGGCAGAACCTCTTGCCCGAGCTCAGCGATTGTTTCGTCTTGGCGGGCAGGCAGGTGCACGATACCCATGCCTGCTGGGTATAAGACTCTTTCAGCTGTTGCTGCAAGGGTGGATGGTGGTCGCAGAAAATTTCGAGACTCCTTCTCGAGCCGTGCGATGCCGAGGGCAACAGCGTAGCGCATTTGACGAAGTACCAGCGCGAGGGGCTGCAGAGGCTCAAACGAGGCCTCCCCCCCAAAGAAGCTGTGCAAGGAGTGGGGTCATCACCTAGACGGCGAGATTGAGTTAGAGCCTCTTGGATTGATAGCCTATCTGACAAAACCTTCGGATGTTTGGCCTGTAGACGCACACTGAAAATCCTCCTCCATCCCAATCCACCACCACCACCATGCTCTAGACGCGGAGTGTGGCCTCAGGCTACTTCGAATTCTCTGTTGGAAATGATATACCGTCTCTGAGGGCCATAGAACTACAATTCCCGTACTTTCCTCCGGACTTTTCCAAAGACCGCAGGAACGTGGCTGGGAGTCCACATTTCCACCGTGGCCTAAGATGGCCCCTAGGGTTCGTCCTAGAGCCCTCTTGGGCGCCTCCTGGACCGTCTTGGAGGCTCTGTGGGCAAGCCCAGCGGTTCCAAGTCGTCCAAACCACTTGAAGTAATCAGTTTCTCAGTCTCAAGAGCGTCCAAGACTGCCCAAGAGGCCCCCAAGATGGCCCCAAGACGGCCCAAAAGACGGCCCAACAGGCCCCCCAAAGATGGGCCCCCAGAGGGGCTCATGAGGGGGAACTCGATCTGACATCTCGAGCCCCTTCTCCCAAAACGCATCGGCATCGAATCGGATGGGCTCGGCCAGAAACGATATCGAACCCGATGAGTCAGAATCAAGGGCTCCCAACTTCGCGCTTCGCGCTGCGCGAAGCGCGAAGTGCGAGTAATTAACTTCGCGCTCTCGCGCGGCCTCCCAGGGGAGAAGTGGAGGGTGAGGAGGAATCGGAGCCGAACCGCGAAGCGCGAAGCGCGAACAACTTCGCGCCCTCGAGGGCGCCCTTGCAGCATGGACCCTGACCTCGGCTTTCGACCCATAATGCAGATCTCCGGCGGCCGCTCGAGACGACCCGGGCAGCCCAGGGGCGCTCTCGGCGAGGCGCAGCCAGAGCGCACCCCGAGGCAGGAAGAGACCTCCCGGAGCGAACGAAAGCGCCCAGAGACGTCCGAGAATCGCCAGCCTCCCAGTCTCGAAGAACAACAAACAAGGGCTCCCAGCTTCGCGCTTCGCGCTGCGCAAAGGGCGAATAACTTCGCGCTCTCGCGCCTCCTCCCAGGGGAGAAGAGGCGGAAGAGGAGGAATCGGAGCCGAACCGCGAAGAGCGAAGCGCGAATAACTTCGTGCCCTCGAGGGCGCCCTTGAACAAACAGCACAAGCATCATGTATCGGAGGTCAGCGCGAACTTCTCGGATCGGCGCTGGACGCAACGGCCGCGTTCTCTGTGGCCACATCCACCCCGAATGTGTCTATCTGCGCAGCGACACCCAACGTGTCCACAGATGCCTGTGGCTAGAACTAGACGAAGAAAAACTACATCAACATAAACTTTCGACGGTCCGCGCGGATTTCTTGGATCTGCGCTGGACCCCCCTCCCTGGCGCGCGGAGCGCGTCAGGGGCGGCGCCGGAGGCGCCGCCAGGGGGTCCAAGCGCGGATCCCAGAGATCCGCGCGGAGCGCCAAAAGGTTGCGTTTATGGGATTTTGCTATGTCTCGAGAGAAGGGTATCCGGCACATGCCCCAGCCGGATTGGCCTTCCAGACTCGGGTCGGGCGAAAGAGGGGGATAGCAAAGGGGGGGGGGGTGAGAATCAGCTCACGTAGCTGATTCTCCCGGCGCCTCCCGGCGCCGGAAGGCGGCTATGTATCGAGGAATGGGCCCCTCGGTGGGGCCGAAACCAGCTGCATGCAGCAGATTTCGTAACCCCCCCTTTCCCAATTCCCCCCCTTTCGCCTGGCCCGACAGGCGCAGGCAGACGTAACCCCCCCCAGCATGGCAACCGACGGGCCCGGCGGCGAGGACGCCGGCGGCTGCCAGTGCGGGCGTACGGCGGAGGGCCGCGGCCGAGGGCGCCTCTGAAAGGCCGCGGGCCCAGCTGGTGCTCGGCGTCATCGTCTGGACGACCATTTTGTCCTCCACAGTGGAAGGACGACGACGACGACGACGACGACGACGACGACGACGACAAGACGACGACGACAAGACGACGACGACAAGACGACAACGACCACAACACGACAAGACGACAAGACGACGACGACGCCGAAGACGACGATTCTGACGACGACGACGACAACGACGACGACGACGACGACGACGGCGACGACAAGACGGCGGCGACGACGACGACGTCGACGACGAAAGGCTTCGGCCCAGACCAGGCGGCGCGAGTGTTCTCGGTACAGCCCTCCCTGGAGGCGGCCCCCACACTGGACGGCAGCAGGGGACAACTTGCCCGAGCAAAGCACCGTGGGACAACTTGCAGGGGAGAAGAGGCAAGGTCGAGGAATGGGAGGTCGGCTGTGAAAACGTGCATGCCTGGGCATTCCTAGGGTCGGGAGCGACCAAGAGGGGGGTGTCCAAGAAGGGGGGGTGCAAATCATGACCGGCGGCATGTGCGCGGCCCAGCGGGGGGGCCAGGACCGTAATGAAGTAAGAAGAGGCGCCATGAAATCTGGGGACGTATCATGCCCCCCGCCATGATGTCCACCCCCCCCTAGTCATCACCCCCCTCTTTTCCGCCCCCGATAGGGACTCCTGGGGAAAGATGCCGCTGGGACTGGGGGTGAGAGCACGGCCGTGTGCACCGACGAGTGCAGCGCTTCCAGGGGATCGTGGCCGCCCACTGAGGCGAGAGCACGGGCGAAACTGCTGCCAGGCTGGGCGGTCGAGGCCTCCCCGTCTCCCCTTGTAGGACTCTGTCTGTGCCCCCCTGGCTTACCCCTGCTGGAACCCTCGAGCGAATCGCTGCTGGGGAAGGCACAGTCAGGCCAGCGCAAGGTTCCGAGGGAGCTGCTCGAGCGATGCCACAGCTGCCCCAGCACCGACCTGACCGATCGGCCGTAGAACTGTGGCAGGTCAGTGGAAATAAAGAAAACGACATCAACATACACAATGTTTTGGCGCTCCGCGCGGATATATTGCATCTGCGCTGGACTCTCCTCCCTGGCGCGTGGAGCGCGCCAGGGGCGGCGCTGGAGGCGCCGCCAGGGCGCTCCAGCGCAGATTCAAGAAATCCGCGCAGAGCGCCAAAAGTTTATGGTTGTGTCGTTTCTTTCTGCTTCGAAATATCTGGACCTCCCAGACACGAACGCCGACCACAGACCCTGCTCTGATCCCGAGCTCGAGCGGGGGGGGGGGAAGGCCTTGGACGCCGGGCCACAGGACGCTAGGCTCTGGGCTCAAGGCCTCGAGCCCCGGGCCCCAGACGAGCGTGGACGTCAGGCGGTGGTCCCGGGCCCCGGGCGCCGTCTTTGTGCGTTGCCACGCGGGGAGCACGTGTGGGACAGCATGTTTGAGGGCAGAAAATCCACCCGCATAGTAATCACCCCGACACGCGAAACCGTTTTGCAAACGCATCCACAGAAGGAATCGAGCCGGGCAGGGCTGTTTAGTAAACGCCCAGGGCCGTTCAGTAAACGACAATTATCGGGTCTGGGTTATGTTTCCTCCCTTGAATGTTCCCCCACCCCGCCTGCGTTGCCATGAGGCGGCCAGAGTGAACGAGTGGAGTGAAGCAGATGTGTTGCTTCCGCCTTCTAGGTTGCCAGGTGCCGAAGAGGACTGACTTGTCAGCGACCTCTGCGTTGACACGTGGCGAGCAGATGTAGAAGAAGAGATTCCCCCCCTGGTTGCTACGAGACGATTAGAATGAACACATGGGGTAACATAGAACAATGCATGCTGTTTTCCGCGGTCTGCGCAGTCGAGAGACGAATCAAATATTATGGCTGTTGTTCCGCCCGCACGCCTTGCTGTGTGGCGCGTTGCGTAGAACAGTTGCTGTTGCTGCCCCCCCCGCGTTGCCACATGGGGAGCGGAGTAGAATAGTGTGTGTATGTTCCGCTCCCTTGCGATGCCACATTGTGAGTATGTGGGAGAAGGAACGGAGAAGGAAGAGGAAGCCGAGAAGGACAACCACGAGAGGGGCGGGACGACGACGACGACGACGACGACGACGACGACGACGACGATCAGACGACGATAAGACGACGATAAGACGACGATAAGACGACGACGACGACGACGACGACGACGACGACGACGACGACGACGACGACGACGACGACGACGACGACGACGACGACGACGGCGGCGGCGGCGGCGGCGGCGGCGGCGGCGGCGGCGGCGGCGGCGGCGGCGAAGCGCCGCAGGCGCCCCACACTTCGGGGGTGTCGGCCATCCCTGGCGGCGCGCGCGTCCTCGGCAAAGCCCTCCCAGGATGGAGGCGGCGGTACGGCTGCACCCGCGGGGGGGCGGCGCCCGCAGGGGGCTGCAGCGGGGGGCTGAAGGTCGTCGTGGAACAATCGACCCGTATCGCAAGGGCGCGCGATGAGGACGCCAGGGCCTCGGCAGGCCGTGTCGACGCTGTGCGGGCGGGGCGCGGCCAGCGAAGGTGGCCAGCCAAGGGTGGGCCGAAGGGGCAAGGATGACCTTGCCGTGGAGGAGGAGGAGGAGGAGGGAGGAGGAGGAGGAGGAGGAGGAGGAGGAGGAGGAGGAGGAGGGAGGAGGAGGAGGAGGAGGAGGGAGGAGGAGGGGAGGAGGGAGGAGGAGGAGGAGGGGGTGACCTCGGGACAGTTGCTCGCCCTTGCCGTGCGGGTGGACTGCAGTGGCACGGCCGTCGTGCTGCCACGAGGAGCACCGAGCCAGGCGCGGAGGGGGTGGCCTGGCCACGGCGAGCCTCGGCCGCGAGCAGGCTCCCCGACCCCAGGCCCGAGGAGCGGTGCGAGGACTTTAAGACAGGGCTAGGATCGGGGGACGAGGGCGGAGGGGAGGGGGGGGCACCAAGGGGGGCAAGGCGTGTGGCGTCGTCGCTGCCATCCGACCCCCGCAGCTTGCCTGCTCCAGAGCGTTCCAGAGCGTTCCAGAGCGCTCTCAGAGCGTTCCAGAGCGCTCATAGCCTAAGATCGGGATAAATCGCTCCAGAGCGTTCCGGAGCGCTCTCGGAGCGTTCCGGAACGCTCTGGAGCGGCCGCGGCGCCCAATACATCCTCCAAACCCGCCGATTCTCAGAGATTTCGAGTTATCCCGATCCGATTTTGTCCCGATCTTCGCGTCGTTTTGAGAGCCCCTCCTGGGGCCCGGTTCTTTTTATTCTCCACGAGAACGCCCGTGACCGGCCCCGCCCCCGCCCCCCCTTCCCCCACTTCCTCCCCCGTCCCCCCCGGCCCCTCCCCCCTGGGCGGGTCCTATTCAAAATAGGGCGCTCTCGTCTCAGCGCTGCACACGTTCGTTTCAACATGTTCTGAAAGCTGCAAGGATGGAGGGCGGTTCCTGTTCATCATGGAGCCCCCCCCACACCTCCCCGCGGTCACGCCCGTTACCGCCAGGAGGCAGAAGAACGGTCTCCAGGAGAGGGCAGCGGCGGGCGCCGAGGCGGGCACGGAGGCGACGGGCATCCCGCTCGAGGCGGCCGGAATCCCAGGGTCAGGGAGGCGAGCGAGCGGGCGAACGCGCCAGAGTCCACCGAAGAGCGGGGCCTGTACTTGGATCACCGCGTTGTTGCTCAGTGGATCGGGGGGGTGCAGGTGAATGCTGAGGCGGGTGGAGCTGAGTGGGTTAAAAGTGCCCAGAATGGCCTGGGTGAGTCCGATAGCTCCGTGAAGTGGCCGCAGCCCACCTGGACCAGATCTTGAGTCACTTAGGCCACTGAGTACCACTTGGAAGCCAGGTTAGGCAAACTATGACGTGCCTTGACATCCACTTATAACCCCCCCTATCCCCTTAGCTCTCCCTGCGGTAATCCAACTAGGGCCGGCGCGGGTGGACCCGAACTGTCAGTGGTCCACGAAGTCTCCGTGTGGAGGTAAGGAAGGGAAGGGCGTAGGGAGGAAGTGCTCGCGATCAGGCGTCGGTGTGCGAGTCACCTCAACTTCGCCACTGTGCATGTCGCTCCCGTCACGGCGGGACGTCGACCGTCAGAGACTGGGAGGCGGAATGTGGAAGGTGCTGGCACACGGAGTGGAGGAATAGAAGCAAAGGAAAAGCCATGCCGATGACGCACCGATCGACTACTAAGCATGAACGCTCTGAAATGCTGTGTGAAGATACGCGGGAGGGGTGGCCCCACACTAGACGGCATCGAAGAAAGGAGGATAACAGTACCGTCGGGGCGTTGACCTAAGGAGGAGGGGGAGGAGGAGGGAGGAGGAGGAGGACGAGGAGAGGGGAGAGGGAGGAGGAGGAGGAGGAGGAGGAGGAGGAGGAGGAGGTGAGGAAGAAGGAAAGGAGGATAGGGCTGATTCTGACGGGGGGAGAGGAGGGAGGCGGAGAGATCGAGTGATTGAAGAAGAGAGGTGGAGGAGGAGGAGAGGAGGAGGAGGAGGAGGAGGAGGAAGAGGAGGACGAGGAGGAGGAGGTGGCGGAGGAGGAGGAGGAAGGGGGACAGGGAAGGACGAGGAGGAGGAGGAGGAGAAGGAAGAACTGGAGGATGAGGAGGAGGAGCAGGAGGAGAAGGAGGAGGAGGAGGAGGAGGAAGAGTAAAAGGAGAAGGAGGAAGCGCAGGAGGCCCCACAGGGGTGCGGTTCCCCGTCGTCTGGCACCGCGCTGGGCTGGTAGAGGTGGAACTGCAGCATAAGCAACGCCGTCAGGCTCTGGCGCGGGGAGGGGGGCTCAGGGCTCGGCGCGGGGGGCTCGCGAAGAGGAGGCGGGGGGAAACACGAGGAAGGAGGAAAGAAACCAGATGGGCTACTGTTCCTATGGGCTTCCTCCAGCTCGGTTTCCAGGGCCCGCGCAGACTACGCATGTGCCGACGCGCTGCCAGGCTTGTAACTTCATCGTCGAGCCAAGCGAAGTCCGCACATGCAGCGCACGTGCCTGGGCGCATCCCCGATACTGCTGCGACAGTCACGCATGCGGATTTTACCAAAGAAGGCAACAGTCAAGCTGCCCACATGTTCTTACAGGGCAAGAGCTCTGCTGTGGCAGCATACCGTGCGTCATCCAGCTGTGGCGGGACGGCCACCGCGCTGCTGCCCAAGGTTGCTCCAGAAGGTTCTCCGCAATCTCTCGAGGCGGATGCTTCTGCGGTTGCGCCTAAGGGTAGCCAGGATAGTGACGTGGAGTTAGCTGCTCCTGCCGAGCTCGGTCTCTCCTCGTCCTTGAACCCTCCCCCTTCCTCGCGTTGAGAGCGTTTGGGGGAAGTGGATCCCCGTGGTGGACAGCAGGCCCGTGCCGCGGCCAGCCGTTCCCGCCCTCGCGTATCGAGGCGGGGTCAGCGGCTGGACGCTGGCAGGGAAGCAGCTGACGCTTGTGCGGCAGCTCCCGCGACCAACAACGGTTTGTCCTGCGTTGGTGCGCTAGCTCTTGATGCTCCCTCTCCTCTCGGTTGCAGCCTGGCGTGCTTGCAAGAAGCAATGACTCTTTGTGCCGTGGCGGCCTCTCTCCGTCTTGAGGAGGAGTTGCCTGCTAAGGCGCGAGACGCTGCTCAGGAGCCGGTCAATTCAGATTAATATGGTTGCATTGCCCCCTTGCCAAATGTTGGCAGGGGGATTACAGCTTCGGCTGGATAGCGCTAAAATCACCTGACTGTGCATTGCTGAGACTCTGACCATCTTGGAATATCAAGATTCCCCCACACACAAAAAAAACTTGCTCTCAACGAGCGGTACGTATGCATGTGTCTGCCCATATGTCTACATATGTATAGATGTGTACCTGGCGGATTCCAGAAACCCTGGACCAACAAAAAACTGTTCATTTCTTCAGCGGTCGATGTCCACTTCCGCCAATGTCCGCCGGACTTCCGCCGTCTTTCGCCGCCGTCCGCGAACATTCCGCCATCTTCCGCCAAGCGCCGCCGCGTTCCGTCAACTTTTAGCCATGCAAATATAGCACATGCACGTGTGTATATATATATATATACGCGTATACCTGCATCGGTAAAAACATTAGCACTTACATGTGTACAATTGCAATAGACACATATCGATATACGTATAGATGGATGAAAAATCGATATGCTGATTCATATACAAAAAACTAGGCATACATACATCAGTGTGCGTGTGTGCCGAACGGTCTCACACTGCCTGGGGATGCACGATCTGGGTTCGTGTTGGTGTTTTTGATGTTTGTTGACTGTCGTCGTCGTCCTCGCTCACGAGCCCCCCGCGACACAACTGCGACCAAACCCGCGGCCCACTCCGCGCTCGACCTCTCAATAGTACCGCAACTGTGGGTGATACATATACAAGTGTTTGTATGTAAGTATGAATGTACATGCGCAGTTAGTATGTATGTGTTTATGTATGTAATTGTGTATGTGGATGTATGCCTGTTTGCGTGAGTGTACGAATGTATGTGGGCATGTATGTATGTACGTGTGTGTATATGCATACATGGTTGTATGCATGTACGTGTGTGTGCATATGTATGTATGTGTACGGAAGTATGGATGTATGCATGCATGCATGCGCGCGTGTGTGCATGTATGCGTGTATGTCTGTATCCAGTTATGCATGTATGCGTGTCTGCATGTATGCATGTACGCTGCACGTGTGCATGTATGCATGTGTGCAGGTATGTATGCACGTCTGTGCGTGTGCATGTATGTGTGTATGCCTGTATGTATGTGTTTGTATGTAAGTATGTGTGTTTGTCTGCAGGTACGTAGGTATGTATACAAGGGGAGAGAAGGGGGGAGAGGACGTTGGTGGACTGGGTCCCAGGTCGGGCTGGAGGCGGGCCAGGAGGTTGACACCAGAGGCGGCCGCGGGCGGAGGGCGCGGGGACGCCCAGTTGAGGAGCACCGTCGCGCGCAGCACGGGGTCCTCCACCTCCAGAGGGGGGGGGTCCTCCTCCTCCTCTTCCTCCTCCTCCTTCCTCCTCCTCCTCCTCTCCACCTCCTCCTCTCCTCCTCCACCTCCTCCTCGTTTCCTCCTCCTCCTCCTCCTCCTTTGCTTCCTCCTCCTCCTCCTCATCATCATTATCACCACCATCACTATCATTATCAGAATCGTCACCGCGTCATCATCATCATCATCATCATCATCATCATATCATCATCATCATCATCATCATCATCATCATCATCATCATCATCATCATCAGCATCATCATCATCCTCATCATCATCATCATCATCATCATCATCATCTCATCATCATCATCATCCATCAGCATCATCATCATCATCATCATCATCATCATCATCATCATCATCATCATCATCATCATCATCATCATCATCATCATCATCATCATCATCATCATCATCATCATCATCATCATCATCATCATCATCATCATCATCATCATCATCATCATCATCATCATCATCATCATCATCATCCGCATCGCCATCACTAGCATCATCATCAGTAGCATCAGCATCATAAGCATCATTATCATCCTCGTATTCGGGGTTGGAGGGGGCAGGGGTGGCGGGCAGGGATTTGCCAGGTATCGGGCCCCGGGACCATCAAGAAAGGATCCGGGACGATAGGGGGAAGGACCTCCTGGGGCTGCGCACATCGTCGGATGTCTGGGTGTACAATATATCGCGCGCACGCATCCGCCTCATCAGTGTCGCTGGGAGCGGGATGCTCGCGGGCGCGATAGCGCCACCCAGGTCCCAACCCCCCTGACACCCGCCTCGACTGCGCCCTGCGGGATACGTATTTTTCCGCCCCTGCCCCTGCGCGGCCCCCTCAAGAGGGGGCGGGCATGCGTCGCATCGGCGGGGTCGCGGGAGGCCCAAGTAACGATACTGTGGAACCTCATTCAGACAGCTGCCAGGGCGGCTCGCAGCGCGAAGGCTCGGACAGGGCTGCGCGCAAAGACGAAGCAGGCGCAGCCGGCCTCTTCGCGTCGCTCGGAGGCACGCGAGCTCAGCTCCCCTCGTCTCGTCGTTCGTCTGGCGCTCCGCTGAAAGCTCAGCTCAGGCGCAGGAGGGCGAAGAGCTGGGAGGGCGGGCGGTGGAAAGGGAGGAGCTTAGTAGAATGGCTATAAGGAAGACAGGGGGGAAAGAGGGACAAGGAAGAAGGAGGAGCAGCAGAGCAGAGGAAAGAGGGTTTAGAAGGTAGAGAAGTAAGAGGAGCGAAGGGAGAGAAGAATGGCTGAGGCCAGGAGAAAGGGCGGAGGGGGCCGAGGGGAGCGAGAAGGGTTTAGATCAGAAAGCACGGAGGGAGAAATACGGAAAGAAAGAAACAGAACGAGCGAACAAGCCCGCGGACCGCGGGTCTCGGGCACCAGCCCATTCTCTCCCCAGAGGGACGGCACGACGCGCACGCCGAACAGCAGGACGATGAGGAGGGACGCTTACTTCACGTCCTGCTCCCAGCAGAACCCTCAGGCCTACCCCCTCGCCTGGCAGGGGGGCACCCGTGCGTGGCCTTCTCGGTTCTGCGGCTCACCGTCTTCTGGTCCGCCCGCCGCTACAACAGGTGACCCTTCGCCACTAGGTGCAGCTGTCGCAGGTGATGCGCACATCGCCTCAGCACCCTCAGTCCTACCCCCTCGCCTTGCTGGGCCGCGTGCTTGGTCTCCTGGGTGTTGCAGCTCACTTTGTTCTGGGCCACTCGCCGCTGCAGCAGGTGGCCCTTCTCTCCTCGGAGCCGACGTCGTAAGTGATGAGCCCGTCGCCTCGGCACCATCAGGCCTAACCCCTCGCCTGGCAAGGGACGCATGTGTGTGGCCTTCTCGAAGACGCAGCTCACCGACTTCTGGGCCGCCCGCCGCTGCAGCAGGTGGCCCTGCGCCCCTGGGGTTGGAAGAGATAGGTGATGATGCTCTCGCCGCAGCACCATCAGCCTGGCAAGGGGAAAAGCGTGCGTGGCCTGCTCGACGCAGCTCACTTTGATCTGGGCCACTTGCCGCTGCAGCAGGTGGCCATTCGCCACTCGGAGTCGCCGTCGCAGGTGATGAGCTCCCCGCTTCAGCGCAATCAGGCCTACCCCACCGTCTGGCAGGGGGTGCTGCAGGAGAGGCCCCCCGACGATACCACTCGCTGTGTTCAGGATGCTCGCGTGCACCTCGGCCAGGCCGGAACCCGACCTTCCCCTGCATCTCGTCGCCGACGCCAACGAGAGAGGTCCTGTTACACACGTCTTCGGATGCCAAATTCATCCCAATCGTTCCGTCCCGTCATGCACTCTGGGCCCGTTAGGAGCCTCATCCTGCAGTGATGGCGATGCTGACCTTGCAATCGACGGAGTTGGTGCCAGCGAAGGCCTGGGTGCCGCTGCCGCCGTAGCCACAGACCTCGCACCCTTTGTCTTACCATGAATCCTGCGCCGTGGTGGTGCTGCGGATGAGGGGAGGAGGTAGGAGGGGGAAGAGGGAGGAGTGCACAGCGGATGACCAGTCGTGCACCTGCCAGGACAAGAGCACAGGCCAACATGTGGGCCCTGCTCGCCTCACCCCGCAAACAAGACAGCCACAAATATACGTGTTTCTTGGTCGTCTGACGGTGTTTACCCGCTCTCACGGCAGAAATGGGAAGGAGGGGGGGAGGAGAGGAAAAGAAGGAAGGGAGTGGAAAAGGAAGAAGGCAAAGGAGACGGACGAGAGGGAGGAGGAACGCAAGAAGGTTGAGGACCGACAGGAAGATGAGCAGAAAAATCAAAGGACGAGTCGCAGTAGTCGGGGGAAGCAGGGGGCAAAGGGAGGAAGGGGACTAGTCGGTGAGAAGGGGAAGAGGGACGGGGGTCGGAGGAAGAGAAGGAGGAGGAGCAGCAAGACAGGAAGGGGAAGAGAGGACAGGGAGGGGCGTGGGGGGGGGGGAAGGGAGAAGAAAAGGGAGGAGGGGCGGGAGAAGGGAAGGGAGCGAGTGAGGAGAGGGAGGTGAAGAAGAAGACGTGTATGGGGGGAGGACGAGGAGGAGGAGGAGGACGGGGAGGGAGAAAAGAAAAGAACACTGCTCCTACCGGGAGTAAAATGAGGATCTGGAGGATGAGAAGGAGAATGAGGACAAAGGGGAGGATGAAGATGGAGGGGAGGGAGAGGAGGGAGAATATGGAAGGAAGGAGGGCAGCAGGGTGTGGAGGAATGGACTGCGCTATGCTTGCCCCTGCACGCCCTTTCCGAACTGGCCTGCCGAACTTTTTCCCCAAAGCAGGCATGACCGCAAACTGACACGACAAGTAGAATGACAACGGGAAGTGCGAGCGCCTCTATCAGTGTCGTGTAAAGACGCGTGCTCAATCCGCAGAAGGTCATCGCGGTGACCTGGTGTTCCGGGGAGGTAAGGCGACTGAGCATGAGACGTTCGGGTGAAGCATCAGGCAGGATGGCCACCTCTGCAAAGCCCTATTGGCAAAAGGAGCACCCAGTATTGCGGAACACGTCATGTCCACACCTGCTATCAGCTGTCCTGTATTTGTTCTCGTCCTCCCCTTCGCACTACTGGACCTGTTGCTGGACCTCCTCCTCCTCCTCCTCCTCTTCCTCCGCCCCCTCCTCGTCTCCCACGCTCCTTCCGTCACCGTCACAGTGAGCAGGGCAGCTTCAGTCCTCAGCACTTTGACATCATCATCATCATAATGATCTTCAGATAATGTCCCCCTCATTCCTCCCCTCTTCCTCCCTCTTCCTCCGCCACTTCCTCAGCCTCCTCCTTCATCGTATGCAGCCGCCGCCTCCTCCTCCTCATCCTCCTCCTGCTCCTCCTCCTCATCATCCTCCTCACTCCCCACTACTCTATCCTCACCCCTCACTCTTCACTCCAGACTCCTTACTCATCCACTCCTTTTCTATATGAATAACGTCTCCTTGTCGCACCCCGAGGCCAGTTTTTAGTGCAGGCCGGGCGTTTTGCCTGACACCCTGAAGCCCAAAAAATGGCAACAGGTGGCAACAGTTTAACAGATGGAGGGCGGGTGGGTTTCAAAATGTGGTTCTCGTCTTGGCGCCGCGCACATTCGCTTTTAACATTTGCACGAGCCTCACGGATTGAGGACGGGTGGTTTTCAAAATGCGGCTCTCGCCTTAGCGCCACGCACACTCGCTGCAAACATGTGCGAGAGTTTCACGGATTGAGGGCGGGTGGTTTTCACAGTGTGGTTCTCGCCTCAGCGCCGCGCACAGGCGCTTTCAAAAGGTGCAGGAGTTTCACGGATTGGGGGCGGGCCGTTTTCAAAATGTGGTTATCGCCTTAGCGCCGCGCACATTCGTTGCAGGAAAGTGCAAGGGCTTCACGGACTGAGGGCGGACCGTTTCCAAAATGCGGCTCTCGCCTTAGCGCGCATTCGTTTCTCAAATGTGCATGAATCTCACGGTTCAGTATTATGAGGGTGAAACAGTTGCGTTGGCTCGCAGAGCTGAAGGCTGAACTCCCAGGAATGGCGTCCTGGCACGATTCAGGATCGTCAAGACGCACCAGTCCAGTTGATCCGTGGCGAACGGATCCCGAGAACCATGTTTTGGCATACTTGAGGGTCTTCAAGCGGTTGTCTTACGACGCCGATGTAGGGCCTTTACAGAGGGAGCTTGGAGGGAGGGTTTATCCCTACATCGTTGATTACTCTTGACTTTGCACTGGTCCTCCTCTTCTTCCTCCTCCTCCTCCTCCTCTTCCTCCTCCTCCTCCTCTTCGTCCTCGTCCTCCTCCTCCTCATCCTCCTCCCCCTCCTCCTCCTCCTCATCCTCCTCTTCCTCCTCCTCCTCCTCCTCCTCCCCCTCTTCCTCCTCTTCCTCCTCTTCCTCCTCCTCCTCCTCCTCCTCCTGCTCCTCCTCCTCCTCCTCCTTTCCCTTTTCCCTCCTCATCGTTCTCCCTCTTTCTCCTCCCCCCTTCCACAGCACGGATACGTTTCTGGACCGTGGTTATGGGCACGCGTCACGGAGCCTGAAGTTGAAAGGACGGGAACCCATGGGCATGCCTCTCACAGAGAGAATCTCGACACATCCACAACTCCATTCACAAAGACTTCCGCACACACGCACGCACACACACAGACTCTGACGCAACGTACTCCCCCTCGTCCTCATCACCACCATAAAACTTGAATCATCATCATCAGCACCACCACCATCACCACGGCCACCCTCACCAG